GTTTGGACTTCTAAGAAGAGGGCCTGGGTTAACCGACATTGCAGCCGTCAAACGGCCTTAGACTTGACCATCAATCGTCGTAAAGCAGCTCAGTATCACTGTCAGAGGGTTTGATGGTCTATCAGATATCACTTTCCTATCAACTCGTCACGAAAAGATACAATTATTTAGTGTCTATGTTTCCGAATATGCACTCACTTTGTTGTCATTTCCACTAATTTTCGCCTAACCTTGGTACTTAAGGAAGTATTTTTCTTTTTATCTGCAGCTTTTGTTATTTCCCGTTGCGTGTGGCCACAGAAAAGTTGCCTTTACCGGAAGAAGTTCCGTTCCTCTTCGAGATATTATTTTGACCATCGACGAAGAAATTCCCACAGAGCAAGATTTTCAAGAACTAAAAACTAACGCTCTACCCTATTTATCAGACGTTCAGACTGCTCTGGAAAAGGGATGGAGGCCAACCAATTATTTTTTCGCAGGAAGCACAGTAGAGAGATTTGGCATCGCAATGATGATTTCGCAAGAACCAAGATGCTTCGGAAAGGCACCCTTAGGCTCATTAGATGCCGACCTTGACATGATGTTTTGCTGTTCGGGAGTAAAAGCTTCCTTTTCTGGTCAGGATGATCTTCTTGTTGAGCCAGTTTTCAGTGGTAAGGAAGGTTTCACGGGATATGCTCACCTTACTTACTTCACTCCCAGCGTCGAGAAAGTATTTGTCAGTTCAACCCTTCACAGACAGAAGGCGATTGGTGCTGTTCAAAACATGCCCGTGGACAATCTACCCAGCGATACATGTTGTTTTGGCACAATCGACTCCGGCCCCAAAGTCAGTTTCAGCTCCAGGGGGCCCACGATGAAGCTTTGTATTGCTCCTCTTTTCGAGGCTGACTTCACCATCTGTATCCATTGCCTTGAGTGGCCATACATGAGTGACTGGTCTTCTCGTCCAAGGTACTGGCCCAGTGCAACAGATGTAGAGAGAATCTTGTCACTTGGTTGCCATCTTGTGGCCAAACCAGCACCAAGCGACAAGAATAAAACGAGCTGGAGATTTTCGTTTTCCCTCGCCGAGGTGGAGCTTTCCAAACTTGTCCCAGACACAGCGAGGAAATGTTTCTTAGCTCTAAAAATTATCCTGAAAGACCATCTTCAACCCGTGGAGCCAAGACTTACTTCTTATCACATCAAAACTATTTTCTTGAATATTCTTGAAAAAATACCAGTTGGTTTCTGGGTGGAGGAAAACATAGAAGAATGTTTCCTGGTATTGCTAGCGGAGCTTCGAGATGCTTTGAAGTCCAGAAATTGTCCCCATCACTGGTTCAGCTCCGTCAATTTGTTCAAATCAGAGGTTTCGCTGTTTTGCTTGAACACCATGCACTGGCTGTCTTTGGTTAAGAAAGTGGAAAGAATTCTGCGCAACCCTGCTTCATTCATTTTTGACGATGGATGCTGTTGTCTTTTACCGTGCTGCTGTCCGGTGCCGCATCAAATATTTACTCGACGAACCGGCGATCAACTGTCTACAGATTATATGGAGATCCCATTTTCTGTCAATGGTCATGGAGACCCGTCGGTTGGTGATTACGCTGGTCAATTATCACCTGAATTCCCATCTCCAAGGTCTGAAGCTCATCTCCACGGTGAAAGTTTGTTTGAACACAACAAAGAACAAGTAATCACTTCTGAACCAGATCGATTTGTTGCACCAGGAGCCTGTTTGTATCCGAGTGAACCTGCAGACCAGGTATTGTTTCTTCCCGTGTAGAACATTTACCTCCACTCAAAGATCATATGATAGCTTATTAGAACTGCTGTTTCAGACAGAATAGGCGACAACTTCCTCTCAGATGTCTTCGTGTCAGTCCATATTGAGGACACACTGCAACAGGCTCATAATACAAGACCAACCTTGAAGGAAATTTTTTTTAATTGTTGTACCAGTTTAACATTTTTTAATATATTTCGAGCCATTTTTTAACATCGCTCACACTCCTCACCTCACTTACTAGCTAAGTCGTTAAAAAAGGGTGTGAGTCCTCGATTTTGGTCCTTTTAGATAAAAATTACCGATAAGAACCGTTTGGTACACGATTTCCCCAGAACAGCTACTTACTTACATATTCAAACACTACACAGAGTAATTGTGCATTACAGAAGTCATCTTGGAAAAACAAAAAGCCGTTCGTGAAAAACCAGCGTTTTTGTGAAAATAGGGACCTTAAGCAACCAGGAAGGCAGCATCGAGGAAGACGTCGTTCAAAAGTTGAAGTTATATTCTTCTTTAGAATTTCGTCATGGCTGCATGGATATGTTTACGCCTTAACACCTCGACTTCAGCATAACGTTTGGGATCAGCGTTGATCTGCCGCTGGGGTTTCCGCTCCCAGCCAACGCAAATTCTTGTGATTTCGCGTTGTTAGGGAGTTTAAAAACCTAACAACGTCGTCAACAGCAACGGGAACGTCACTAAACAAAGAGTTAAATGAGCAGAACTATGGCTGTGCAGGTGTTTTATAAATCTTCGAAAATTTCTTTGCGTCCTCTGCAAAACAACAACGTGAAATAACCAAACTTTGCGTCGTCTGGAGAAGAATAATTACTGCTACTTTTTTAAATTTCTAATTTAGGGCTGTGTTCCATATTCAGTTT